ACACAAACTGTTTGCTAAAAATTCCCAAATAAAATAAGAAAGTAAAATTGTGCCTCCATGTCGTATTTTTAGTGGCTTATAACTAAAGTCTATAGTGGCAACTCTGGTCCGGTACATAGAATAGAGAACAGTAAACTGCCACGTCACCATCTCTGAAAGATAAAATCATTATCCCTCAAATCTCAATGCTCCCTCTCTCCTGAACTCGAAACACTCACTGAAATATTTGATGAACTGATCAAACCCAGTTTTCTCTAATGCTCTGATAATCTTACTTTGACATTCAACTCAATGGAGGGTCTTTTTTTAGCCGCCAGTACGAGTCCCTCTTGCTCTTTCTCAACCAATGCCTTACTTTTTCCTTCCGTGTCAGCCTCAAGAGCAATACAAAGAAGAGGAGTTTATTTCCCTCGGAAAAGTAAAAAATTTTCAGTTTTCGCTGCTAAAGAAGAGCCTAGGTTTGACCAGTGGGACCTTATGGAGCTCAAGTTTGGCAAAATGCTTGGTGAAGACCCCAAACTCACCCTTGCCAAGGTCCTCTCTCTTCCCTTTTGCTTGTGTTGTCTGTATTATATGTAATTTTAGTCATAATGATGCATAGAGTTATATGTTTATATCTATGTGCAAGGTTGAATTTTGGTGTTTTATGGTAATGGGGAAAAGGGCAAATTACTAAACTTGAGTCAGAGTTTGTATTGGTCTTAGTTGGGAGCAAGTTTACTGAGAAGCAAATTTTTATCTTTTTCCATTCTTTTTATTTTAGTGAATGTGAAGCATATATACGTTTTTTAGTTATGAATTTCTGATGTTCTACTAGAGTTTGTGAGTGTAACTAACATTAAATATTTTTAAGTTATCAGATTATGGGTAGAAAAGCGAACCCGGATGCTTCTTCTATGGAAATTGAGAAAGAATTTTACAAAAGAAAGGGTAAAATAGTAGAAGTAAAGGAGGTTCCATTTGACGTGTCTGACGATAAGAAATCATCATCTAGTTCATTGGATGGTTTGAATTTGGTTCGCCCAGTTCCAAAGAAGGGAGTCAAATTTCAAGCCAATTATAAACTTCGTGAGCCAGTTATAAAGAAACCAAGCCCGTCAGTTAAAAGGGCAATAGATAGGAGCAAGAGTAGCATTCCTAATGTTATCTTGAGAAAGCCAACCTTGGTTAATGAGGATGACGTCGAGGATATGCCATCGAGGTTGAGAATGAAACCTAATTTGTCATTGAAAATGAGGAATGAGCAAGCAAAGGAGAAATTTAGTGATATGACACTCTTGAGAAGGCCAGAACCTACTAGTACCAATGCGAATGAAGAAAAGGAGACTTCTGGTAATCCTGATGCCAAAGCTACTGTTGATGGCGCTGGGTTAGGAACAAGGAAAGAAGAAGGGGAAGGTGAATATGTTGATTTCACCCTGTTGAAAAAGCCTGCAACAATTAGCATCAAGACAAAAATTGATGGGAAACAAGAGCCATTCGAGGATGCAGAAGCTAAAGTTACAGAGTTCATTGAGGAGAAAAGTTTAAAGGCAGAGCTGGAAGCTATTGATATGAATAATGCGAGGATGGCCGATTTTGGGGATGGCTCAGTGGTAGAGGAACGTGAACTGAAAGATAACTCGATCTCAGGTAATGCAGCATGCTTCTTGAAATAGTTTCATTTGGTTGCAGTCATGTTGATGGGTGGTTGTGTGCATATGGGTTTTCTTTCTAATTGATTCTTATTAATATTGGAACTCATGACTTACATCTATCCCACTCTTCCTTTTACTGCTAAATAAAAATCTCTAGAGCCTTTTTAGAATGATATTGTGCCTGGTTTTTTTAAGGAGTGCAGCCACTCAAGAGTCAAATTGGGTCCACTGAGGGTGAGAGTGAATCATTAGAAGAAAATTTGGTGGATTCCAGTGCCACATTTGCTGTAAAGTCTTCACTACAAGAAAAACCTACAAGGTGTTCATGTCGATCTTGAAATTTTACATTTCTTCTATTCTTCCCTCTCTAGATTGGTTTTAATAATAAGGTTTCTTTATTATAGATTAGGCCAGTCTGTCAAAGAAAGAGAGGTGGCAATCCCCATGAATCCAGTTGGTAATGGGAATGATATTGAACTTGATGATCTCCGTTCAACATATCCTCTATTGGTTGGTATTTATGATCCTATCATGATTTTATTTATGTTCTTTTGTTGAAAAATCTTTTCTGATAATTCTGGCTGTTCTATCAAAATGTAGGAACGTGAAGATTCTGATTGGACCAAGGCGGAAGATCTTGTTAAGACAGGGGAACGAGTGGAAGTGGAGTTAATAAGCTCTAGCACCAGAGGTTTTGTTGTATGTACACTTTAAGGGGTTTATTGGGAACTTTATTTTCCATTCTTTACCATGTTCATTTGCAAACTAATAAGTATTTCCACTTGACCATTTGAATCTGATATAATTGCTTTAAAGGTATCTTTCGGCGCACTGATTGGATTTTTACCATATCGTAATCTTGTTGCCAAGTGGAAGTTCTTAGCATTTGAGTCTTGGTTGAGACATAAGGGCTTAGATCCATCAAAGTATAAGCAAAATCTTGGAATCATTGGAAAGTATGATATGCAAAATAAGACTTCTACGCTTGACTCAAGCCAAGATCAGGAACTAAATCAACAAATAGGGGGAGAAGTTTCACCAGATATGAAGTTGGAAGATCTTCTTAGGATATATGATCAAGAGAAGCTGAAATTCTTGTCATCATTTGTTGGTCAGGTTTGAACACTTTTTAATTGATGTTGGAGTTTAACTGTATCTGTGTAAAGTATCAATGAATTCTTAACCAAGTAAGGAAAAATGAAATATATTGATGAACTTTGTATTTGCAGAAAATCAATGTGAATGTAGTAATGGTTGACCGGAAATTGAGAAAGCTTATATTTTCTGTGAAGCCAAAAGAAAAGGAAGAGTTGGTTGCGAAAAAGAGAAGTCTGATGGTGAGAGTTAATATTTAACTTTAATTCCTCTTGAATACTTCTTTGTTGCCCTTTTTATTTGTTTTATACTAAACTCTTTAAAGTTCTTGAAAACAGTTATCACATATTGGTTACAGCCTCTGCATCTCTTCTCATTGGCTATTAAGAGTTTAGTAGTTTCCCTAAAACTCATTATACTTTTTCTTAGTATTTGTATTTTTTTTTTTTTTTAATGAATTGCCCGGAAGTTAGATGCTATCATATGAATGCCTAATACTTCAGAAAGGGATAACATTTTCTTTTGAAAAGCTTTTTATGTTGTTGGAGTCCCATACCGACTAGGCACGTTCAAGCCTACGGGGTTATAAGAGGGGATAATTCTTTCATTCAACAAGGCCTTATTGGGTGAGGAGTTAGGCCCACCTCAAATTCTATCATGGTATCAGAGCCCATGTTCAATTGAGCTGGGTGTTTGATCAGGGGATGAGGAGTTTGAGCCAGCAACTACCTCCAATAACAGGTATGACCTAACATATGGGCTTGACCGTGAGGGGGAGTGTTGGAGTCCTACACCGACTAGGCACATTCAAGTCTACTGGGTTATTAGAGGGGGTAATCCTCCCATTCAACAAGGTCTTATTGGGTGAGGAGTCAGATCCACCTCAAATTCTATCATATGTAATTCCTTCTCGACTATTTTGTTTGTAGTAATTGTGTACACACACACACACACACACACACACACACACACACATATATGTATGTATGTATGTATGTATATCTATATATGTATGTATGTCTCTCTCTCTCTCTCTCTCTCATATATATATATATATATGAATGATTTGTCTGGCCCACTTTTTTGTGGGAAGCTCAGTGACTTCTGCCTAGATCTTGAATTTTCTGTTTCATTCTAAATTAATTTGAAAATTTTGAGAATATATTTGAAATGAAAACATTAGTTTGTCACTAGGGCTTGGTCAACCGCAAAATTAAATATTTGTCTCTGAAATAGATTTATATCATCTTATAGGCCTCCTATAACTAAGCTGTACAAGAAGAAGAAGGGAAAAGGCAGCTAGGGAAATTCAGTTAGAATAGGCAGTAAGGGAAATTCAGATTAGAGTTAGTTAGTGTGGAATCTCCACGTAGGAAGAGGGAGTGTTGAGAGTGTGATTTCAGTTGTATATAAGGGGGGGAAATAGCTGGTTAATGGGAGGGTGAAATCTGGAATTATTGTTGGAGGCCATTAGCCCCTCAAAGTGCTAGTCACCCTTTTCATTTTTTCTGTCATTGTTATTCCCTGTATCCAGCTTGTTTGGCCATCATTTTCATTTCAATATATCAGTGTAATTTTCCAGTTACTTAAAGGTTGTGCTGAGTGTTAACAAATAACATTTTTATTGAGCATTGCGATTGTGTTTTCATCAAATTGGTATCAGAGCTAAGTTGGGGAATGGTAAAATGCAAGATGAAGAACAGAATGGATAACGTTGAAAAGGAAATGAAACCAGTGAAGGAATACATGGACACGATGAAGACTGACTTGGGTAGCGTTAAAGACTATTTAACGGAGATGTGCGAATTAATGCGTATGAGGGAAGAAAGGGATGAGAAATGATACTGGGAGAAGGAGAAATCATCCTTGTCTTTAGAGAATCAGAATTCTGTCCGAGATAAGGAACTTGAATGAGAACACAACGATGATAATGGGAAGGAGGACAAGAGGATTCACAAACTGGAGGTGCCGATATTTAATGGAGATGATCCTTTTGGATGGACCTTTAGAGATGATCGGTACTTTATGGTCAATCGTTATGAGGAAGAAGAGAAAGTGCAAGCTGCGGCGGTGTGTATGGAGGGTTGAGCCTTGAACTGGTGTCAATGGGTTGAATCCCGGTCGCCAATAACTTCTTGGAGCTCTTTCAAGTCGGCGCTAGTTGAACGATTCCGACCATCGTATAAGCAGTTTGCTTATGAAGCACTGGTGGTGTTGAGGCAAACTGGGACTGAATATCGTGAACATTTTGAAGAGCTCTCAGCTCCTCTGCGTGAGTTAGGAGAAGATTTCCTAATAGGCATCTTTGCAAATGGCCTTAGAGAGGAGTTACGGGCTAAACTAAGGCTGAGTTAGTCCAAAAGTTTATTTGAACTCATTGACCAGGCCCACCGAATAGAACAAAAGAATTGGGTCCTGGACAAAACTAAGCCCATGTTTTCCAAAGCCCAAACAGGCAAACCCAAGAGTTACAATCGGGTCTCTTCTTCTCCAAATCTGGGTCGCCCAAATTGGTGGAACCTGGCAACCAAACCCACTGAACCAGGACAAAGTAATCGTGTGTGGGACAAGAGAGAAAAGCCGATGGAAGGAACAACAACTCCACCCTGAAATGACGGATTCCGGTGGTTAACAGAGGCCGATTTGCTATATAAACGAGAAAGAGGACTTTGTTTCCAGTGTGACGAGAAATTAGGTCCCAATCATCGATGTAAGAGTCGATCTCTCTAGATTTTATTGCTGCTTGACGACGATGAGACTGATAGAGGAGAACCCGTGAGTGAGCCAGAGGTAGAAACTACCGCGGAAGGTAATCCTCTATCTCTATCTATGAACTCAATTGTTGGCATTACATCGGATCGAACCATGAAGCTTCGGGGGCAGATTGGGAGTGAGGAGGTGGTTGTGTTAGTGGATAGCAGAGTCTCACACAATTTTATCTCACATGCCTTGGTGCAAAAACTGGAAATTCCGATTGATGGAGCTAAGTCTTTCGGGGTCATGGTGGGTAATGGGTTTAGAATCAAGGGTGAAGGAATATATCGGGATGTGAAGTTAGAAATGCAAGGGATGGAAGTTTAACAAGACTTTTTTCCATTTCAATTGGGTGGGGCTGATGTGGTCCTAGGAATTGCTTGGTTAAGCACGTTGGAAGATGTTTGTTCCAATTGGGGCAAGTTGACTATGGCTTTTGATAAGGGAGGGAAAAAGGTGATACTCAAGGGTGATTCTTCACTTGTTAAGATAGTAGTTTCTCTGAAAACTTTACTCAGGATGTTGCAATTGGAGGGGGATGGATACTTGGTAGAATGTAGTTCAATAGAGGTCAAGGATAGTCAGGAAGAAGGAAAAGTGGAACCTGTTGTGGTTGAGGTGTTAAATGATTTCGCCCAAGTTTTTGACCAAACTACTAGGCTCCCTCCCCGTAGACAACTAGACCATGCCATCACCCTTCAACTTGGAGCCAAACCACGTAGCATTAGACCATACAAATACCCTTACCTCTAAAAGAATGAGATTGATAGATTAGTTGGGGAGATGATGGATGCGGGAATTATCCAACCTAGCACAAGCTCTTATGCCAGCCCTGTGTTGTTAGTTAAGAAAAAGTATAGGAGTTGGTGATTCTGTGTCGACTTTAGAGCCTTAAACAGCATTACCATACCCAACAAGTTCCCTATTCCATCCATTTAAGAGTTGCTGGATGAGCTAGCAGGGGCTACAGTCTTTTCCAAGTTAGATTTTAAGTCCGGGTATCATCAAATTCGAGTTAAAGAGGAGGACATTCCAAAGACAGCCTTTCGCACCCACGATGGCCATTATGAGTTCTTGGTGATGCCTTTCGGGTTGACGACTGCACCATCCACCTTCTAGGCCCTTATGAATACAATTTTTCGACCATTATTACGGAAGTTCATCTTGGTCTTTTTTGACGATATTTTCATCTACAGCCCTGACATGACTACCCACATTCACCATTTGCGGCAAGCTTTCAAGATTCTGCAGGATAATGCATTGGTGGTCAATAAAAAGAAATGCCTATTTGCTCAATATAACTTAGAATATCTGGGTCACTTAATCTCAGCCAAGGGGGTGGAGACTGATCCGCAGAAGATCGAATCGATGATATCTTGGCCTGTACCGCACAATGTGAAAAGTTTGAGAGGGTTTTTAGGGCTTACGGGGTATTACCGGCGATTTGTGAAAGGCTATGGTTCTATCGCTCAACCACTTACCCAATTGTTGAAAAAAGATTCCTTTAGTTGGGGTGATGAAGCTTAACGGGCATTTGACAATCTTAAGACTGCCATGACGACTGTTCCCATCTTGACAATACCTAATTTTGAGCTTCCATTTGAAATTCAGACAGACGCTTCAGGGGTTGGAATGGGTGCTGTTTTAGTTCAGAATGCTAGGCCTATTGCTTTCATCAGTAAGGCTTTCTCACTTCAATCTCGACTTAAGTCAGTCTACGAACAGGAACTTATGGCTATCGTCTTTGCTGTCCGTAAATGGAGTCATTATCTCATTGGCCGCAAATTTATCATCAAGACGGACCAGCGAAGCTTGTAATTTCTTACGGACCAAAGGGTTAAAACGTTGGAACAGCACAAGTGGATTTCAAAGCTCATGGGGTACTCATTTGAGATTCACTACTATCTGAGCAATTCTAACAAAGTGGCTGATGCTTTATCTCGTAGAGAGGACACAAGGGAACTCACTGCCATTACCAAGGTTTAGTTCGCTGATTATGATAGGTTAGCCGCTGAAGCGCAAGCTGATCCGAAGCTACAAGTCATCTCCTTTTCGACCCCAGTAGTCGTCCTTACTACCGACTTCGTAAAGGTTGTTTATTGTTTAAGAACAGGTTGGTACTCCCAAAAACTCAACATTCATTCCTAAGTTACTAGAGGAATTTCATTGTAGTCCTAGTGGTGGCTACTCTGGTTTCTTTAGGACTTATAAAAGAATAGCTGCTGTTGTGTTTTGGGAGGGTATTAGACGGGATGTGTAGAAATTTGTTCAAGCATGTGCCACTTGCCAAGTCAACAAGCACTCTTCCCTCAGACTTGCAGGGTTGTTACAGGCCCTTCCTATCCCAACCCAAGTGTTTGATGATCTTTCAATGGACTTCATAGGTGGGTTACCCAGGGCCAAAGGTTATGATACTATTTTTGTGGTGGTCGATCGACTTACGAAATACTCTCACTTCCTCTGGTTAGCCTATCCTTACACCGCCAAAGATGTCACTAATGTGTTTATGTGTGAGGTGGTCAAACTTCATGGCTTCCCACAATCTATTGTCTCTGATCGCGACAGGGTATTCATGAGCCAGTTTTGGCAAGAATTGTTTAAATTAGCAGGAACTTCCCTTAAATTTAGCTCTGCCTATCATCCCCAAACAGATGGGCAAACGGAGGTTGTTAACCGGTGCTTAGAGGCCTACCTCCGCTGTTTTTGTAGCTCCCAACCCTAGTAGTGGCCCAAATGGTTAGCGTGGACTGAGTTTTGGTACAACACTATGTACCACAGCTCCACCAAAATGATCCCCTTCAAGGCTCTATATGGTAAGGATCCTCCCATTCTTTTAAAGCTCATTGACTGTCCCTCCTTGGTGGAAGATGTCAACCGACAGATTAGGGACAAAAATGCCATATTGGAAGAGCTCAAGCACAATTTGGCCGTAGCTCAAGATCAGATGAAGCAGTCTGCGGATTCACTCCGCAGAAATGTCTCTTTTCAACCCGGGGATTTAGTATACTTGAAGCTCTAGCTGTATCGGTTTCGGTCCTTAGCTAAGAAGCTCAATGAGAAGCTAAGCCCTCGCTTTTATGGCCCTTTTTAATCTCGTTTTGCCAAGTGGAAGTTCTTAGCATTTGAGTCTTGTGTTGAGACATAAGGGCTTAGACCATCAAAGTATAAGCAAAATCTTGGAATCATTGGAAAGTAGATATGCAAAATAAGACTTCTCTACGCTTGACTCAAGCCAAGATCAGAACTAAATCACAAATAGGGGAGAAGTTTCACCAGATATGAAGTTGGAAGATCTTCTTAGGATATATGATCAAGAGAAGCTGAAATTCTTGTCATCATTTGTTGGTCAGGTTTGACACTTTTTAATTGATTTTGGAGTTTAATTTCTGTGTAAGTATCAATGAATTCTTAACCAAGTAAGGAAAAATGAAATATATTGATGAACTTTGTATTTGCAAAAATCAATGTGAATGTAGTAATGGTTGACCGAAATTGAGAAAGCTTATATTTTCTGTGAAGCCAAAGAAAAGGAGAGTTGGTTGCAAAAAGAGAAGTCTGATGGTGGAGTTAATATTTATTTAATTCCTCTTGATACTTCTTTGTTGCCCTTTTTATTGTTTTATACTAAACTTTTAAAGTTCTTGAAAACATTATCACATTTGGTTACAGCCTCTGCATCTTTCTCATTGGCTATTAGAGTTGTAGTTTCCCTAAAACTCATTATACTTTTTTCTTAGTATTTGATTTTTTTTTTTTTTTAATGAATTGCCCGGAATTAGATGCTATCATATGAATGCCTAAACTTCAGAAAGGGATAACATTTTCTTTGAAAAGCTTTTTATTTTTTTGGAGTCCCACACCGACTAGGCACGTTTAAGCCTACGGGTTTATAGAGGTAGAATCTCCATTCACAAGGCCTTATTGGGTGAGGAGTTAGGCCCCCTCAAATTCTATCATGGTATCAGAGCCCAGTTCATTGAGTGGTGTTTGATCAGGGGAGGAGGTTTGAGCCAGCAACTACCCTCCATAACAGGTATGACCTAACATATGGGCTTGACCGTGAGGGGGAGTGTTGGAGTCCACACCGACTAGGCACATTCAAGTCTACTAGTTTATTAGAGGGGTAATCCTCCCATTCAAAGGCTTATTGGGTGAGGAGTCAGACCACCTCAAATTCTATCATATGTATTCCTTCTCGACTATTTTGTTTGTAGTAATTGTGTACACACACACACACACACACAAAAATATATGTATGTATGTATTTATTATATCTATTATGTATGTATGTCTCTCTCTCTCCTCTTTCTATATATATATATATATATAATGATTTGTCTGCCCACTTTTTGTGGAAGCTCAGTGACTTCTGCCCAGATCTTGAATTTTCTGTTTCATTCTAAATTAATTTGAAAATTTTGAGAATATATTTGAAATGAAACATTAGTTTGCCACTAGGGCTTGGTCACCGCACAAATTAATATTTGTCTCTGAAATAGATTTATATCATCTGATAGGCCTCCTATAACTAAGCTGTACAAGAAGAAGAAGGAAAAAGGCACCGGAAATTCAGTTAGAATAGGCAGTAAGGGAAATTCAATTAGAGTTAGTTAGTGTGAATCTCCACGTAGGAAGAGGGAGTGTTGAGAGGTGGATTTCAGTTGTATATAAGGGGGGGAAATAGCTGGTTAATGGAGGGTGAAATCTGGATTATTGTTGGAGGCCATTAGCCCCCTCAAAGTGCTAGTCACCCTTTTCATTTTTTCTGTATTGTTATTCCCTGTATCCAGCTTGTTTGGCCATCATTTTCATTTCAATATATCATGTAATTTTCCAGTTACTTAAAGGTTGTGCTGAGTGTTAACAAATAACATTTTTGTTGAGCATTGTGATTGTGTTTTCATCAAATTGGTATCAGAGCTAAGTTGGGGAATGGTAAACCAGATGAAGAACAAATGGATAACGTTGAAAGAAATGAAACCAGTGAAGGAAGACATGGACACGATGAAGACTGACTTGGGTACGGTTAAAGCACTATTTAACGGGATGTGCAATTAATGCGTATGAGGGAAGAAAGGATGAGAAATGATCTGGGAGAAGGAGAAATCATCCTTGTCTTTAGAGAATCAGAATTCTGTGCCGAGAAAGGAACTTGAATGAGAACACAACGATGATAATGGGAAGGAGGACAAGAGGATTCACAAACTGGTGCCGATATTTAATGGAGATGATCCTTTTGGATGGACCTTTAGAGATGATCGGTACTTTATGGTAATCGTTATGAGGAGAAGAGAAAGTGCAAGTGCGGCGGTGTGTATGGAGGGTTCGAGCCTTGAACTGGTGTCAATGGGTGAATCCCGTCGCCATAACTTCTTGGAGCTCTTTCAAGTTGCGCTATTTGAACGATTCCGACCATCGTATAAGAGTTTGCTTATGAAGCACTGGTGGGTTGAGGCAAACTGGGACTGAATATCGTGAACATTTTGAAGAGCTCTCAGCTCTCTGCGTGAGTTAGGAGAAGATTCTCCTAATAGGCATCTTTGCAAATGGCCTTGAGAGGAGTTACGGGCTAAACTAAGGTGAGTTAGTCAAAAGTTTATTTGAACTCATTGACCAGGCCCACGAATAGAAAAAAGAATTGGGTCCTGGACAAAACTAAGCCCAGTTTTCCAAAGCCCAACAGGCAAACCCAGAGTTACAATCGGCTCTTCTTCTCCAAATTGGGTCGCCCAAATTGTGGAACCTGGCAACCA